GTATTTGTTTCTTCAGCAGGTTAAAACGCCGAGAAATTCTAGCTTGCTACAGTTAATACCCAGCCCAGTGTTCAATATCTTTGTAAACTATGAATAAAATATAGTAAAAAGAACAAAAAAGGATAAAAGTGAAAATGAATAATGGTTCAACTTCTTGTAAGCCCCACCTCCAAAATAACCTGTTCTGTTGCTCTAAGATGTTCGCATGGACACCTACATACTTTACTTGGAGGTTAATATATACGCTGAATACATAATTCCAACAAGAATTTTCACGTAACATTTTTTTCTTCCTGCACGTTTTTATGGGTTTCATTCTGGGAGAAAGTTGTCGTCAAATCGGACAAGTAACTCTCAAGTTAGAGTATCAGATCCCTAAGTAAAATAAGCCAAATTTCTCTCACGTTAATCTGTAATCTTGACACCCATTTAGCTTGTGAAGTCAAAGCTCGCCAGTCCGTACTTCACTGAAAAAGTAATTCTTCCCTATTACAAAAATCATCTGGTTCTTCATGTTCAAGAAAATGATGGACGTTTATATTGAAAACTATACGAAACCGACAAATACAAAATGTTGATTTACTGACTGTTAATGCAGGTGGTATACATAGTTACCACTGGTCTTTAAGGGTTAACCAACCGTATCCACAAGGATGAAATAAACCACGCCCCCTCATAACAACGCTTCACTTCAAATAAGCGCTGTCTGAAACTATAAATATCGGACCTCCAGTACACACATCCAGACAAATGCCAGTCCTACTGGTCGCCAAGCCGAAAATCGGGGCCACAGGCACTTTTATTTTACATTACACACAACACCATATTATCGACCGATGAAATGTATCCCAGTGTGGTTCGTTGGAGGTTAAAATCAAGAGGGCGTGGAGGGTCTAAGAACAAGGAGAGCTCAGACTAAATATCAAGTCCCTGGAAGGAGTCACCTCATCGAGTGAGCTTACTCGGTAATATTAGCCTTGCTTAATATGGATACTGATTTGAATTCACTAGAGGCACAAATGTTTATGTGTAGGCCAGTTTTTTTTAATTGTACACTAAGCAAATTCTGAACATTATACCGGAAATTTGTTTCTTTACGAATAATTTCAGATTCATTAGGAGCCGTACGCAACTTCGGATTCATTACAGACTTGCCGAAGGCACGTCACCTAGGATAAGTCTTTGACGTCACATAACCATAAACATCGGTGTTTTATTCCTTAGCGTACTGCACAATAACCATCAGCAGAGCTGTCGTTCGTTGCGCGCTGCGATTTCAGTTCCATAAACTTTTATTTTGATTAATGACACGTAAGTACCCAGCTCAAAAATTTCCATTCTGGGTAGCTAGAGTCAGGAAAGCTTTCGTGCTAAATTGGACAGGTGTTAATATTTGGGGTAGTTACATGGGCTCCATTAACTTTATAGAACAAGTATCATCTGCTAAGATACCACATTATTATTAAGTGCCAGAATAACAACAAAATACAAGTCAGAAAATTAAAATGTTCCGAGTATTACCTATGAAACTGAAGCGTACCTGAAGAAGTAATACAAATAGAATACCAACGAAGACACCGGGGCCAAGATATGCTTGGCGGCCCAAAACGTGTTGGAGAGACCAACTGCATCTATAGGATCTAAAAACAGGAAAGTAAACATAATTCTTCATAGTTTTGTGACGACTACAGTTATTAAATATAGGCCCATAGGTTGATCTCTAAACCTAATATACATATTGTCCTAAAGTTATCTGAAGAAAGACATTAATTCTATGTTACGTGCTCCAATAAGTTCACCTACAAAGCCTGTAGAAACGGTAAGTGAATAAACGCTGGATATAATGATGCTGATTCCTTGCACTTTATGAAGTATTTAGTATTCGAATTAATAGATGCTTAGTATTTAGAGTTCTACGTTAGTAAATGGATGCTTTATTTCTATGTAGGCCTATATATGTTAAGTCTATTAATTACCAGTAGTGCCTGAAGAGAAATGTTTTACGACGATAATACCCCCCTCCATGTAATTTTATCTAGATCCTCGTCGGTCAGCAATTACTAGTGAATGCTTCCGATCTCTGAAAACCAGCACTGTAAAAGTATTTCGGAAGAATGCAGTTCCCTGGGAGAACTGATTGTTAACTATTACACTTTCTCCGCATTTTATGGCAATTTTATTAGTGGTTAATGGACAGTTGTAGGCCTATCAGTTAATTACTCGTCCGCACAAATAAAGATCTATGAAGGATTTTGCAAGGTCCTAACAACTAACTCTTTCAGCTTCCTGTCCTTCAGTAACAGACTTACAAATTGGGATCAAGAATTATAATAATATCTCTTTTTCATAATTCCAAAAATTATTATTAAGGGTTATTATAATTTGTTTTTTATAATTCCGTAATTAATATTAATTAGCCTATGCGCATACAGACGACATATTTAAATATAACAAAAAAATAAAATATCTATCTTAGTTTATTTTATTATAAGTAGTTCTATAAGCACACTGAGAAAAACAGTAACTGACAAATAAGAGTGATCTATATTAAGGAATTCTATTAAAATAAAAAGAATATCGTTAATGCCAGTAGATCTATGAAAATACAAAACCTCCTTCTCCCCGTCCTCAAGTAAACACTTCAAGGAAAAAAAAGTGAATAAATCGTATAATTATTTTTGATGGCGTATTTCGAAATATCCTTCCACGGACAACTTCTATGTTGATACACAACAGCTGACATCTTCGTCTGTACTAATTTATAAAATCTGGCATGAGTTAAATAAATGTAAAACACTTCAATGTAAGTAGATTATCGCCTGTGACACGTGGATGCCAAAAAACAGATAACTTTCTGAATTGTGTATATACAATTAGAAGTTTCTGAATATCCACGGAAAATAATTTTTAGCAGAGTGATCAACAATACAATAATATACATCCTGTAACATTGCCCAGGGAATACTGAGTTTCAATACGAGAAGTGAAACTGTACGTATTGTTTGCTGCTCATAGAAAAAAGTGCCTAGCCAAATATTTTAGTAGGTTACTACTAGTTTTCATGTCAACATAACATACATTGTAAACTGACCATTGTATTCTAATGAAAAGAAACTATAAAATAAAGTGACATGTTTTATTTATTAAAAGCCTATATTTGTCTATTGAGAGATGAAGCGTTGCTTGTAAAAAGTTGATTTTTCTCTGCTATTAGCTTATAAAAAGGCAGAGAAATTCACCACACAATCCATTACTTCAGGATTCATGAAATGTAACTAGATTCACGGCATCAAGAATAACAATAAAAAATAAACTATTTTCTATTTATTGCAAACAGTCTCCGGTGTTTCTAAAATAATTGCATAAGAGTATGTTTTTTCGTAAAGACATTTTTCAGTCGAGGGACAAACGGAGGTAGGGAAGAGTTTGGATTTTGCTTAGCACAGCATCTAAAGGAAATCTTCTATTCTCTACCCACTAATCCCCTGAATCTGCCACCATCTTAAACATAAGAGGTAGCATCGGTAATGCTATTCACGTGTAGCACGTATTAAATTATGGCTCAGCTCAAAAAGATATTTATCAGATGCAAGAGACTCTTAAGGTCTGTGTTATATTACGTTTCGTTAATAAATCACCATGAATGTATAGTCCCTTCAGGTTAAAACAAGTCAAACAAATGATGGATACGGACGTGTTTTAAAGACTTAGATGGGATGAGATATAATCCCTGACCCCTTCTACCTCATTCGCATGGGCTGGACTTTCACACATGGACTATAACTTAAGAAACAATTTGTTCGTCCACGCTGAATAATGGTTAGTCAAGTGGTTTTGATTATTAGCTACCACGTAAAGCTCTGAGAATATTATCCACTCGATAGTAATCATAATTTTTTCTCCTCTCACTTTTTTGGTAATGTCTTCTATATTATCAGTTTTCAGACCTGTTTAGTATCGATTTATGGTTCTTAATATTTGGAAAAATTGTTTTTCAAGGAGATACTTAACCGAAGTACCTTTATTATAGTTATCTTCCATAATATGTTATACTGGCGAATATACACCCAAACACACAAACTATAGGGAAGGCTGAATCAACATCAGTATATATCGAGATCTTAAAAACTGCCATTGCGAGGTATGAAAATAAAACTTTGTTTACTGGTTTAGTCTTTCACGTGAATCTGAAAACTAGTTGCTACTTTGGCTCGAGTTACCTAAACTTCACAAAGCACTGTGTAATTTTGTACAGTCAATCATATGGGTGAAAGCAGAGATCTCTTATAATCACATTTGTTGATTGCTCTTAAAAGTCTAACAAAACGTTCTAATTCAGTTTTTACGATCATTACACTTGTTACAAAAGCATTAAAAATGTAAAGTTTTTAAACAAGCCTATTACTTTAAAGATACTCAATTTAAATACGACTCATTAAACAGTAATCTAAAATGTCATAGACCAAAACTATACTTTATTTATGACAATCTATGTAAAACTCTACAGGGCCTTTCACGTTACTGATTCATATGTAATTATGTAACATTCACAAATGGCGGTTTGTCTTTTTCGAGACAATTTTATCAGAAATTGAAGAAAAGTTAAAGACGAGCAAACGAGGGACCGAATTACTAGACTGGCATTAAACCAAACATAATCTAAAATATGGTGTAATAATTACCTTTCTTCATTTCACACTTCTACAGTTTTACTTACAGCTAAAGAATTTATTTCGCTGTTTATGTCACAAGAGAAACCGAATTTCTTGTCTTCACAATTGAGTAGTTGTCTATATGCAGGTCTATTACAACTATTGTCATCAAACAGGCATTCTTTATAGAACACTATACTCGTCTCACTGACGATGAAACGCGACTATAAGTAAACCCTGATGAAGGTTGCTTCTGTAGCTGCTAAGAAGTATTTTGAAAATCTTCTAATTAACAAATCTTAAAAATTAGACTACAACTTATTTTGAAAATATTTTCGTGAAACTTACCCAAAAGAAGAACATTCATCGTGCACCAACCGAGAAGTTATTCATGCGATTCCGCTAATAGAATTCGGTCCTGACCAATAAGAAGACAAGAGACAGTTTGAAGACCCGCGTGGAGATTCAGTGAGACCGCCATGTTGAAAAAGGTCACTTACCTGCAAATAAAACAATACAATTAACATGTTACCCGAACGGTAGGGGGTATATTGCAGTTGCGTGGAGCAGACAGGTATATTAATATGCACAGATAGTTTTATTCGAAAGGAATTAGAAGCTTCGTAATTTGTACTCTTCGGCAAATATAATTAGACTGACCAAGTCAAGGAGGATGAAGTGGGCAGGACATGCAGCCCGCATGGGACAGAAGAGTAAGGATTTTGGTGGGCAAACCAGAAGGAAAGATAACACTAAGAAGACATAGACGTAGATGTCAGGATAATAATGATATGGATCTTAGTGAAATAGGTTAGCGTGATATAGACCGGATTCATCTGGCTCAGGACAGGGACCAGTGGCGGGCTCTTGTGAGCACGGTAATAAACTTCCAGGCTCCATGAAATGTTAGGAACATCTTGCCCGGCTGAGCGACTGCTGACTTCTCAGGAGTCTATAAGAATCATAACTTACTATTAGAAGTCGGAAGGTTTCTGAGGATGGTGTCCACTGTCTAAATTATAAAGTGACAAACCTATAACGTTTCGAAAGCTAGATTTTGATTCCTTCTTTATGTAAAAAAATTGGGAAACAGGGCAGAATTTCTATCTGTTGAGAGGTCAGAGTATGAAACTAGCTAGAATATTTTTACATATTGTAACTTACTAATCATTAAACAGACGAACCCGTAGGTTCCACACAGTTAGTACCAAAGCAAACTAATCTACACTTTCTTAAGTAAGAAACACGGAAAAATTCAAGGAGGCAGTAGTATACCTAATGCTGAAAATGATTAGGCCAGTACATTTATTCATTAGTCCATACCTTAATTTTTTGCTCTGCAGTATGTAAGTTATTACGACAATCATGTTTTGAATTCTTATGTACAGAATTTCGTTTTACGGTTTAACTGAAAATATATCCCCCACTTCTTAAAAAAAGGGTAAAAAAATATGTTACTCCCGTACGAAGTAAACATATTTTGTTGAAATAAAGCATAATACATTATTCTCAATTTAAACAAAAGATTTTTCTAAAGGAAAACAACTCATAGCACTCAAAAGGATGAAAAGAGAATAACACATATACATATTAATTAATAAACAGAACTACTGCTTTTCAAGAATACAAACTTTAGTTAGTCGTTTGTGGAAGGGGTAATAGAGAATTTAAGTTAACATAGTAACATGTCAGTACTGAATTCATAAATAGGCGTCTCGCACTTCTAAAACACCCATCAATTTCCACAGACTTAAGCAAGAAAGTAAAAACTTTACTTAGTTCAGGAAATAAAAATAAACTTTTTAAACATGTTAACGTGCCTCCATGTAACCTGTCTATTGCAACTTATTCTTCTATTGTTCCTCAGTTTCGAACAATATTGTCTTATTTCTAAACTTTGCAATAATTTCAAACTCCACAACAAAACGCAAGCGTATGTGTTACTGGATTTTTATGCGCTGGAAGAGATGTTATTATATTTTATGTTTTTGGAACGCATAATATCCCAGTATTTTCTTGCTAAAGAAATTAAATATTTCCATCATTAAACACATATTCACATTTATGAATAATTTCCGAGACCCTTTGCTCTGCGATAATTGTAAAGCAATAGAATAAACTGTAAAAATTTTGGTAAAAAAAACAGGGCACGGCTTCTTTAAAACACACACACACAATAGGTCTTTGACAATAATACAGTCCGATAAGCAGTTAACCAATATTCCCTTGATCATAGTTCACGTTACTATTATTTTGTTTATTACCTACGAAAAATAACAGATCACGCCAACATGACGAGCAGTATCCTTAAATTTTTTGGAACAGCAAAGTTAATGAAATTTATGCAAAAGGGACAAAATTATTTGACTGGAGATGTCTCGAAATTCAACAAATATATTTATGTGCGTATTGTATCCTCCTTTGCTTTCAGTTCCCTAAATTAAAATATAATTTTTGTACGTTTCAAACTAAAATTATGGGAACTTAAGGCCTACTGTGACATTGTATCAAAATATATTGTAAAGTGTCACCCAAAAAACTGATTTGGCGAACACTAGAACATCAGTACTTTCACTAAAATATTAATATTATTAGTTATAAATCAATTCTGAAGGGTTCTGACAATGGTGTAGTAGATTTAAAATTACTGGGCTTCTGGACTTTGTCCATCGTCTGATATTAAAAAAGAAATTTTCAGAAGCATTCAACCTAATGATGGAAAAAGATCAAGTTTCCGAAACCCTGTGTGTTTTTGAATATCAGACAATGGATAAAGTCAAGAAACCCAAAAATTTTAAATCGTTAGTTGTGATCAGAATTCTAAAATTTAAAATACTTGGTGGAATTAATATCAATAAATAATTTGAAGTGCTAACAGTGGTAAAGATTTCGATGTTATCATCTGAACAGTAGGCAATGAATGAAGATGAAGGCAGTTTGTTTTTCCTAAACGTAGGTATCTGCCTACAAGTCCTTACGGCGATAATAAGTTCCTGGAGGAGACAGTGGTTGCGTCCTTCTCCCGGTCCGTGCTCCGGAAGTTACGCTTCCGATGTTCGGCCCGGAGGCCAACTGAGGATTTCCGTGATTTCCTTCCATTTCCAACAAACAGGACTGTATTTTTCCTTTCACAACCTTCATTATTTAAAATGACACTCATTCTCCCATTTGAAGCTATAAGTTATGTTGAGAAAACGTCGTTAAGTGAAGCAAAAACTAAAATGAACTGGAGACAGCATTTTCCTTCTGTGGCGCATGGAGAACATAGAAGACAGTCACTTTCATACACATGTGTACATGGAGAATAGTTCGTAAAAAATTCGACACAAAACGCACCTGC